GTTCATTGGAAGGACTGAAGCTGAAACTCCAGTACTTTGGCCACCTCATGCGAAGGGTTGACTCACTGGAAAAGACGCTGATGCTGGGAGGGATTGGGGGCAGGAGGAGAAGCGGACCACAGAGGATGAGATGGCTGGATGGCGTCACTGACTCGATGGGCATGAGTTTGAGTAAACTCTGGGAGTATGTGATGGACAGGGAGGCCTGGAGTGCTGGTATTCATGGGGTCGCAGAGTCGGACACAACTGAGCAACTGAACTGAGAGGGTGAGAGGTGCCATTGGTACAGATTTTACTGGTATTAAAGGAAAATAAGGAAATACTATGTGTAACTTTATGCCAATAAATTTGACAATAGTTTTTGAATTGAATTTATAATTTAAACTCCAGGCCCTAAAAAGTCAATGGGAACTGATAAGCAAGTTAGTCAAAGCTGCAGGATACAATATGAACATGCAAAAGTAATTTATATATCTATATACTCACAATGAAAAATCAAATCAGAATTGTAAGTTAAAAACAAAGCCATTTCTAATTGCATTAAAAAATATTAATATCCAGTTGTAAATCTGACAAAAGATGTGACCTTGGTTTGTGCAAAGGGCTTTTAGATATGACACCAAAAGCATGATCCATTAAAGAAAAAATTGCTCCCTGGACTTCATCAATGAAGACTTTCTGCCTTTTGAAAGACACTACTAGGAGAATAAAACGACAAGCTACAGACTTGGAGAATACATTTGCAGATCACATATCTGATAGATATAAGATATCTGATAGATATAAGAGCTTTTATAAAGAACGTTCAAAACTCAGTAGTAAGGAAACAACCTAGTATAAAATGGGCAAAGAATCTCTCCAGAGAAAATGTATGAAAGTGAACATGTTAGTCGCTTGGTCATACCTGACTCTTTGTGACCCCATGAACTATAAGCCTACCAGGCTCCCGTGTCCATGGGATTCTCCAGGCACAAATACTGGAGTAGGTTGCCATTTCCTTCTCCAGAGGATCTTACTGACTCAGGGCTCAAACTCAGGTCTCCTGCACTGCAAGCAGTACCATCTGATCCACCAGGGAAGCCCCAACACTTCACTCAATGTGGGGCATGAACCCACGACCCTGAGATTCAGAGTCTCATGCTCTACCGAGAAAATGGATAGATGACAAATAAGCACATGAAAGAGTCTCAATATCTTCAGTCACTGGAGAAAAGCAAAGTGAAATCACTGAGAGATGCCACAGTGCACCTATTAGAACAATGAAGCTTAGAGAGGCTGGCCATACCTCGTGGTAGCAAGGATGGGAAAGAAGTGAGCTCTCATCCATTGCCATTGAAAGTGTAAAATGGCGCAGCCGCTTTAGAAAACAGGGGCTGTTTCTTTATAAGTTAGACTTATACATACCAAATGATCCATCAATTCTATCTCTGGGTGTTTACATGAGAGAAAGGAAAGCTACGTTCATACAGAGATTTATACGCTCATCCAGAGGAGCTTTATCTTGTAACAACCCAAAGCGGAAATACCCAAGTATCCACCAGTAGGTGAATGGATGAGTGCAAGGGAGAGATTGTTAAGGGATGTAAAGAGACTTGGTGGTGAAGAATATGTTCAGTGTATCGATTGTGATTATGTTCAAAATCCATAGATTTTGGTATTTGCGGGCAGTCCTGGAGTCAATTCCAGTGGATACCAAGTGACTACTGTATTCAGAGAATACGTTTTTGGACTTCCCAGGTGACACTAGTGGTAAAGAACCCACCTGCCAATGCAGGAGATGCAGGAGACACAGGTTCCATCCCTGAGTCGGGAAGATCCCCTGGAGAAGGAAATGGCAACCCACTCCAGTACTCTTGCCTGGAGAATCCCATGGACATAGGAGCCTGGCGGCTACAGTCCATGGGGTCACAAAGAGCTGGACACAACTGAAGTGACTTAGTATTGTTTCACAGTTGTGAAAATCTGCCAAAATATGTCAAGATTGCATGCTCTAGGCTATTCAATTTTATGGTGTGTTAAAACTCTTTAAAAAATAAATAAGAATGCCTTCTCTGGAAGTCTTGTAGTTAAGACTCCACACTTCCACTGCAGGGGACATGGGTTCAATCCCTGGTCAAGGAACTAAGATCCCAAATGCCAGGCGACACTGCCGAGAATTTGTTTAAATTTTTTAAAATGAAATAAATAAGAATAAAGCCAAAAAGAAAGTAAGACTCACTATTGAAATTCATATTAGTGTAAACATTACTGGAAAATTGTTGCGTGCTAAGTCACTTCAGTCGTGTCTGACTGTTGTGACCCCATGGACTGTAGCCTGCCAGGCTCCTCTGTCCATGGGATTTTCCAGGCAGGAATGCTGGAGTGAGTTGCCATTTCCAACCCTAGGGGATCTTCCTGGCCCAGGGATCAAAGCTACATCTCTTATCTCTCCTGCATTGGCTGGTGGGTTCTTAACCACTAGCGCAACTATTAGGTAAATTAAATGGATTTTTTACATTTGTCAGTGGACACTTTTTAAAGCAAAGAACCCCTTGTAAAAGTAATCTTCACCATTGAATATGTCTTTTTCTTGACTCCTAATGTGATATACTGTATTTCCTTGAAGAGAGTGTACATCCAGTCTGCTGGAGCCATGATAGCACACTTCCACTTCTTTTCAAGAGCCTTTCATGACAGTAGTAGGGCTATGTAGCTGTGTTTTGTCTGAAGTGCTGGAGGGCAATTGTGATAGATAAGTGGCTACATCCACTCCATCATACACAGTCCGTTTCATCCCATGTTAAATTACATATTGTGATTAGATGTTTAACCGCTTGGCATCTTGGCCAAATTTCAGCCCAGAAACTTAAACACGTGCTTCATCAAGGCAGCATTGCCAATACTTCTGAATGATTCATTTCCTCTTAACACACAGTTCAGTTAATACTTGCACTGGGACTCAGTATGTGTGAAAGTTCCCTTTCAGTCCACTAACAAAATCAAAACTACCAAGTCTTAAAGTGGGTATGTGTTTTGAGTGTTTGGGGTGTTCCATTAAAAGACCTGGCTTTGTTTCCGTGGGGTTTAAAATGACGCAGTGAGGGGAGAGGAGAAAAGTCAGCCATAGAACACAGCTTTCCAGATGTTTTATGAGCTCACGGTGCTGACTGAGCAGAAGATGCTAGCGGGCGGTTCTGCGCCTTCCCGCTGGCTCGGTCAGGGCGGGGGCTCGCAGGAGGGCAGCGTCCTTTCTCACCGTCTCTCTGGCTCGGGGAGCCGCGCTGACCCGGGCTGGCTTGCTGTCTTTCAGGGTGTGAACGGCATGTCTGTGGATGAGAAGCCTGGCTCCCCCATGTACGTGTATGAGTCCACAGTCCACTGCGCCAACATCCTCCTGGGCCTCAATGACCAGCGCAAAAAGGATATTCTCTGTGACGTGACCCTGATCGTGGAAAGGAAGGAGTTCCGGGCCCACCGCGCCGTGCTGGCCGCGTGCAGTGAATACTTCTGGCAGGCGCTGGTCGGACAGACGAAGGATGACTTGGTGGTCAGCTTGCCCGAGGAGGTACCGTGCTTTGGTTCGTCCGCGTGGCTGCCGATCGAGGCCTGTTGGCTGGGAGGTGGACCGGGAGGTGGGCGCAGCGTCACATCCCCGCTCGCGGGTTGATGATCAAGTTACCCACATGTTAGGTTTGTGGCTGAGCCGGTTTCTATTTGATGCATTTCAAGTCTCGGAAGCATGAATCTGAACCTCACCTGTGGCTCGCAGCCTCTCGTAGTTTCTAATTCACTTACTCTTGGGTTTTGAGTCGTTGGACCGAAGTTTAGTACAATCCTAGATGTGGGATCTGAATCACTGGGACTGTTGCTATGATTTTTCTCTTTCAAATGGTTGAAGGAACACTTGACTTCCCTTGAGAGTAAAAGAATGAAAGTATTCACAGCCCCTTCCTTGCCCAGGGGGCAAAGTAAAAGCAAGCAGTTGTTTTCAGTTAATATAGTAAGATTCTAAGAAATGTAAACTTTGCTTTTCTCACCATTGTTGAAAATACCCTACTCAGGTTTCTTGATTACTTTGGGGGGGACAGCCACTTCTGTACCTTGGGGACCCTGGTGGATGCACTTGCTCTGTCCAGAGATGATACTCAGTTGACTAGTTTGAGCTGCCAGCACTCAGGAGATGGGCTTGATGCTGACAGACCATTAAATTGGTCGCCCCGTGGAACTGCCTATGCTCTTTCTCTTCTTCCATCATCCTGGCTCCTCCTCATTTTTGTGGGACGAAGGGTACCAGTGGGCAGCCTTAGGCTTTGTGTTCAGGCCAGAATCCTTTCCTGTGCGCCACCACCACTAGGGCCACCGACAGTTGTGCAAGCTGTGCACTGCACAGCTCACATCCATAGTCGTACGAAGAGAGCCCCAGAGTTGTGCCATGACCCTCAGAGCAGCTCTTCACAGCACTCCTAGGAGAAGCCAAGGACCCAGTCACCCTGAGGGAACGATGGGTGCAACTGGCTTGAAGTCCCAGAGGTCCTAAATCCAGTGCCTCCGGAGGCCTGGAAATCAGATAAATGAATAAAGCAGCTTGTATATAAAAAGTGGCCTTCCCTGGTGGCTCAGCTGGTAAAGAATCTGCCTTTAATGCGGGAGACCTGGGTTTGAACCCTGGGTTGGGAAGATCCCCTGTTGAAGGGAACAGCTACCCACTCCAGTATTCTGGCCTGGAGAATTCCATGCACTCTATAGTCCATGGGTTACAAAGAGTCGGACATGCCTACTATATAAGAAGTAGGCAATGGTGAGGCAAGCATCTGCTCTGCAGAAAGACATTCAGGTTCAACCTAAGAAATAAACGTTCACACTACTATATACAAAATATAAAATAGATAAAACAGCAAGGAAGCTAGGGGAGCTTTATTGATACTAGTCAAAATAGACTTTAAGACAACATTATTTGCACGGGGAGCTGGATTCAATATCTTATAATAACCTGTAATGGAAAAGAATCTGATAAAGAATATAGATACATATATATTCCTATATATAAGTTTGAAACACTTTGCTGTACACCTGAAACAATTTAAATCAGCTCCTCCTCAATTTTTAAAAGTCGCTCTATACCCCCCTCCAAAAAAAACCAAAATAGACAGGGAGTCAGAGGGGTCACCAGATCTAGTCCCCTGTTAAACAATGTCTGCAAAGCAGGAGAGTGGCCAGCTGGCAAAGTGAGGGTGACACAGCAGTTTCACATGAATATTCTTTGTTATGTGCCCGTGTGAAAGGCTCCATTACTCCTCACACCACTGGCAAGAGGCTGACTAAGAAGGTCCCAACACAAGATGCCAGTCAGCTGAAGGTCATGTAATCGGGGCTGGGGTAGGGAGGGACGTTTATGTGCCAAGTGACGCGGGAAGGCCGAGGAGAGGCAGCTGCCTGGTGACTAGTGATCCTGAGCTGGACTGTCCTCGTCTGTGTTAATGGGCAGCTATTTAATCCATCATGAGGTGAGAGGATAAATATATAAAAGTCTCCATTTAAACTAGTAGGACTTCATCAAATGTAAGACTCTTTCTTCGTCTCTCGAGGGGCGGGTGTCAAGAATGCCTGTTGAATTTACTTTCGCTCTAGAATTCTCTGAAAATATCTGACAAGAATCCCACTTATCCAGAATGGTTTTGAGGACGGGGTGGAGTTTACAGTTAATTTACTATCTGTATCTGTTTGAGAACCACCTAATTTATGTTTTTTACTGCTTTTAAAAAGTTAGATTATCTTAAAATATATTTACAAATGAAAACCATATTTGAATAATTTAGTCTCTCTTCCATGACTGCTGACCACATCTTAAAACTCCCTGGACCCTGGACCTTATAAGCTCTGGCCTCCCCCCACCCCAGTAAGCTCTGTAACCCTCGTCTAGTCACTTAACCTCTCTGAGCCCCATTTCTTACCTGTAAAAACCCCTAAAATTCTGAAGTCCTTAAATTATGTATCATAATACAATGCCAAGGCAGTAAAACCTAACCTACAAGTTTCTTTTTAGATCAGACCCCTGATGATCACTTACTTCCTTGGCACTGGGCACTCTAAAGTCAGAAGCACACTGCAGAGATGTCACACAAAAACCTGCCGTTGGAACTTTTCGGTTGCTTGTGTTCCAGTTAAGTGAGAATCTGCTAAATGCTGATTTTCTTCTTTCTAGTCGTGTGAAATGATTTCTGCCCTGTGTCATCTGCATTTCCAAGTCATTAAAACGTTCTGGTTATTTATGTGCCTGAAACCTTCAGATATAACAACGTTTTTTTCCTTTCCTATAATATGTGAATTCATATTGTCAGTAACCCAGCCCTAAGCATCTGGCTGATGGGCATGCAAGCAAACCCCCATGGTATTTTCCTTTGTGGGTCTGTGATTTTTTTCTGAGACCCCCCCTTCCGAAGCCTGCTCCTCTGCTCAGAGCCCCCTCCTGTGGCCCCAACACCGGGCGTTGTTTTCTCTCCTTGTTGTGGGCGCACTGCAGGATCCTTGCAGGCTGAAAGATCATTGTCCTACATGGTTCAGTGAATGACTTCATCGAATTTGAATTAAGTGGTGAATAAACAAACATCAGGAACACTACCTTGAAAAGTAGCTGCCTGGAACTCACTGGCATTTGGTCCCTATGATGTAAGGAAAAGCATTTCATTAGCTCCTTGGAAATCTTCATCATCATCCATCATGGTCAGATCACCTTCTGGCCCTTGTCCCAGCCCTGTTCTTACTCGTCTCACTTCTGTGCTCTCGGCCGGCCGGCCTCCAAGCTTCTCATGGACCAGCACGGCCAAATCCAAAAGCTCCATCTTTGGCTGGGAAATCTCCAGATAGGAACTGCTCCCCTCCCCACTGCCCTGCTTAGTCGGCTTAGGCCCGACCCGGCTCCGGCCTGCACCTGCCATCCCCTTGTGCGATTCTGACCCCCCAGACCCCCGACGGGCAGCACCAATTCCTACAGAGCTGAGCCCACCACAGTGCCAGGGCAGTCTCTCAACTGAAAGGGGCCTCCTGGAAGTTAAAGAGTCAAGAAATCGTCTTCCTCCCGATACGAACTGCTCCCCTCCCCACTGCCCTGCTTAGTCGGCTTAGGCCCGACCCGGCTCCGGCCCGCACCTGCCGTCCCCTTGTGCGATTCTGAC